CAATCAATACCTGTCTTTTTGTGACTGACCAGTTTCACTCAGCACAATGCCCCTCTGGTTCCCCCAATGTTGAGGAATGGCTATGAATCTGCAGGGCACCTCATTCACGACATGGATAAGCCTTGAGGACATTTTGCTAAGTGGAGTTGGTCAATCACAGAGGAACAAGATATTGGATGGGATCAATGCTGTTGAAGGTTAAGAAGGGTTTTTCTTTCTTTTTTTTTTTACGTTTTTATTGTGAATGATGTGTTAGTTTACAAGAGTGAACATTATCTTTACATTCATCCTATCATATTTTGTTTCACTGCAATGATCACAATCCCCTATATGCATCATCAAACAATCAAAGGGTACACCCCACATGCCTGCCCCATGGCCACCAGCCCACAGCCCCTCTCCCTCCCTGAGACCAGAGTCCCCAGCTGCTCCTTCTGTCCACATCATTCACTGTGTCACTGCCTCCCCAGATAGGGTCTCGCACTTCTCTCTTCTCCTTTGATGGTTCCAGGGATCTCCGCTCCTGGACTGCAAAGTCAGCCACTCCCCTTACAATATACTCTTGTAGCAAATTAGCAGCCACTCAGTGCTCACTTTGAGAATTACTTATATCAGAAATTTGAGCATGTAGCTGATGAATATCCACAGACAAGTTAAATTAATTTTTAAACTCATAAACTGCTACCTGCTATTTGTAAAAGACTGTTCTACTTCACTGGAAAAAGCAATATTGCGGTAAAGGGGGTGTGGTGGTGGTGTGTCATGGAGTTGGCTCCAACTCACAGTGGTCCTGCATAGAGTTTCCAAGGTTGTAAATCTTTATGGAAGCATAAATTCTCATCTTTTGCCCATGGAATGGCTGGTAGTTTTGAACTGCTGACCTTGACATTAGCAGCCCAACTCATAACCACTATGCTACCAGTGCTCCTTAAAGAGGGTATAGTAGGGGAGTAGCCTTCCTTCCAGGCAGAATGAGAATCAAAGATGCCAAGACAAGGGAGAGTAATACCTGCCTTCCTTCTTAGTAGGTTGACTATTTCGTTTATCGGGCAAACTGGGACATGTGATCACCAGAGCTTGAAGCCATTCATAAGGAAAGTAATACTTACCTCCTTCGTTCACTCCAACAGCTAGCTCTAAAAGACATGTTGTTGTTGTTAAGTGCTGTTGAGTCAGTTCAGACTCATAGCAACCCTGAACAGGGTTTCGAGGCTGTAAATCTTTATGGGAGCAGAAAGCTTCACCTTTACACAACTGGTAGTTTCGAACTGCTGACCTTGTGGTTCACAGCCCGATTCGTAACCACTATGCTACCAGAGCTCCTTCTAAAAGACAAAGAATGTGGTAAAAATACAATCAGTGTGATGCCCAGCTATGTGAGTCTCTCCTCATTCATTCTACTTGTTATTTAGGATCTACCTGAAATTCTGTAATAATGGAATATAAGATTCATGGCTGATCTTTTCCTTCTGAGAAATGCCTAGGGAGGGCTGATGTTTGGCTGGTCCTGGGGTTCCTTCCTTCTCCAGGAGCCTGCAGAAAGCCCTGACACTGTTCCAGAGGATGCAGAGATCATTTTGGCAAGTGACCACATTTTAAAGGTGGGCAGAAGAACCCAGCATTTACTGTGTGTACTCTATGCCCAGGCACCGTGTCAGAGGATGCACGGGCCTGAGCTCATTTCATTTAATCTGCATCACTGTCAATGGACAGAAGCTTTTTACACAGCTCTGCCTTGGCACTTTGTGAAGAGGAAAATGCTGGCTATCAATTAAACAACTAGAAAACAAATGATCACAGTGTAACTAGAGGCTTTTGGGTTTTTAATATCTACTTAAAAGATTATGATTTTTAGAGTCCACATCAGGTTGGACCTTCTAAAGACAGAAACAATGATATTCATGTGATGTAGAAAATGTACTTTTCAATATTTGCAATCAGATTACACATTGTTTTTACTTTATTAGCATTTTACCCTCAACACGCTCCAATATGGAGATGCTAAACCAATAGCAGAAGTCAAACATACTAACAGTCAAACCTTCAGAAAGACCACATCTCAAATCTTCTAGCTCAATGTGCTTAATTAACTAACCAATTTAGGGTTCTTCAAACATGTTTGGGAATACAGATTAAAAAGAGTCAAATATAGATGTGCATACACGCACACACAATACCCACATATTACAGTATTAAGTCTCGAAATCTTTGAATTTTAAGAAAAGGTCATCACTTTAGCTTTTAGGCCTCCTGACACTTTTTAGGAGCATTAAGAATCACAAGAGTCTATAATCACAGCAATCAGGGAAATCTGACCCAGGAACTACTGACACAGTCAGACAGGAAAATGGCATGGGGCTGCAGCT